CCTGGTCTCGAGAGAATTCCCAAAAAGAAAAGAAAGCCTACAAAGAATTATGTATTAAATCCTATGCAGCTCATCAGATCACTTTGTTACCAACGTAGATTTGACTTTTTCCGTCGTCATCTCTGAACAGGGGCTTTATATTTTGTGTATCCTCACCAAGGGGGGGGTCATGTTTGGCCGGTGGAGCATTGGGTAGTATTTGCCATTGAGAAGGATGCGTGCAGATTCACTACCTTCGGTTTACAAATCTTACACTGGTTAAATCTCTGAGCCTCACGGAACGGCTCTTAAGATTGGTCGATTCGTCGACGGGAAGTATCAAAAGTGCAATATGCCCACCCTCCCCCCTAGCCCAACTGCCCGAAGGATGTTTGTTGTTTTACGTGTGCATTATGCCTCACAGTCCCATTATGCCACACGGCCTTTTTTTGGAGAAAAACTGGGGAGTTTTTGGAGAAAAATCTGGAGAAGAGGTAAGAAACTGGGAAAATCTTGGAAGATGGTAGGTAAGACGGGAGAAGAGATCACAGCAGAAGAACGAGTTTTGAGTGGGGAGGAGGGTGTATGTGACGAAAATCATCCCGAAGGCAAGACCTGTTCTCTCTTAGAACTGAGATAATGTTTGAATGAGTTTCACAGGCGTTCTCTTTCTCGTGTAGGTCGAAAGGTTTGCATCATTTGGTCGCGAGCAAACCAGCTAGCCTTTCTACTATTTCACTCTACATGTGGACATCGAGCCACGACTCGTCTAGTTTCTGGTGTGAATGCCGCGCACGTGATGCCACTTGCTACGCCGCATTCTCTACGCTGCCGTGCCGAATCTCACACGTCTTCCACCATCAAGGCAGTTCACACATGGACGCTTTCCGCTGCAGGGGGAGCGGGCACAGAGTATTTGGGGTGGAAAAAAAGTTATTTTGATTGCTGATTTTTTATGTTTCACGCCGCATCATCCTCCTTGACGGGTTCATGATGTTGCAATAGGGGCACGTTCTTGCTGGTGGATAATTTTTTCGCAAAGGGCTCCCCTCCCCAGAAAGTCCCCTCCGGCACGGCCCCTCCCCACACCTTTCCCCATCCCCTTACCTTCCGTGCTGAGTTCACCCAACTTCCTACCTCTTCTCGGGGCTTTTCCAACCCTATAATTTTCTCAAAACAAAATGCCGTCAAGCTTGAAATAGAAAAAAAGAGAAAACTCGATGACCAGAACATTTTTCTCGAAAGCAATCACACCCCCGCTACCGCTACCCACCTCTCGCCGGGATTTCCAGCGTACGACGGGCACTGAGAGCAGTAGTTGATCCTTCCTTTTTTTCAACACCTCCAAAGATCTTGCTTGAAGAAACTGTGAACCCCTCTCACCACAATAGGTGAAACCCATAAATCCCTTGATCAAGGCCTTCCTACAGAAGTTTTTCCAGGCTATGTAACTGGAATGATTGGCAAATGGCATTTGGGTATCAACGAACTGAACAGTACCGATGGAGCCCATTTGCCGTCTCGAAGAGGTTTTGACTTTGTCGGTCTCAATCTACCGTTCACCAATACATGGATGTGTGATACTACTCAGGTAGGTATTTTTGAATTATTGTTGTGCTGCTTGCTTCAGTGAATCTCATAAAAACAGTTACGTAGTTTGACTCATTACAAAAGATGGTTCTTGCAAAACAAGTCATTGCCGATTCAATGCCCAATAACTTCCGCTTTGTGAGACCAACATGAAACATCGCAGAGATGTTCGTCGTCGTCGCCGACGAATGTGAGAAATGACGTCAATCGGAAACTGGGTGAAGTGTGATGCGCTCTGCTAAAGGATGTGTTACCGCTATCTGAGATGAATAATTCATAGAAGGCCTAAAGCGTCAAAGCTCGCACTAGTGTGCAAATTGGTGATCTAATTAGAGATGATGCTATATTCATTACGTGGGATTTGTTACCAAAATGCTCAGAATATCCACGAGGATAGTCATAAATATAAATAGCCACCTTCATTAAAACCTTCTTTATTTATACCTATGGTGGTCTAGCCATTGAATAGAGGCCAGGTAAACAAATGGAACAGTAAATGGAGACGAACCCCTCTCCTGTGAAACAGCTGGAAAAAGATCAAATTCCAAATGTCTAGACTAATATAATGCAGACTCCTCTGTAAGTAGAGGAGGCCAAAAATGACTGTATGTGTGTGGAGGGGGGAGGGTAGCACAAGGGTTTCAAAGACATATTCCGCGATTACATCTCTTCGGTTCTGGTCCAAGTAGGAGCTCGTAATAACGCTCACCAGTTGAGAAGGGGATCAGGAAAAATTGACGAGACTCACCACCGTGAAGTACCCTAAATGGGGTCACAGTGTAGGACCACAATTCGAAGAAGCGGGGCATTGTTGCGCGGAAGCAGGAAGACGAATGGACGCCAGTAGCTGGCCCAGAATGAACTAAACACCTTACTTCACAGATACAGGATCGCGGGCATATCTCGTCCCCAGATGGGTGGAGCAACTTTCGGGATAGCGATCCATCTATTTACGACAACTGCAGAGCCGTCATCACTGACTTGGAGCCACGAAAGCTGTTCAGCCTTTCGCGACTGCGGAAATGTGGAGCTGTTCGGCTTGGTAGGGGCACCAAATGATACTCTTGGAAGCTTGTACAAGCTACCTTCTGATCATCTGTGAATCACTGAAACCAAAGTGACTCGCCTGTAGAATATTGCACCTTGCAAGATTGTGACGTTGCCAATTAACATGAACTAGAGAGAGTGCGAAGTACTCTTAAGCCAAACAGCGCAGACGAGGATACCCGGACAAGGAAGGGATCCTGCCTGTAATCCGCCCGAATGTGTTTGTTGTTTTTTATGAGTAACCAGTACTTGTGATACTTTGGATTACAATGTGGCCACCATCTCCATACTGGCCCTCTTGAACTTTTCGCCGGGACTTTTTTTTTTTTTTTTTTTTTTTTTAATTTTTTAAAGTCGTTCTGGACCTGGCGATGTAGCCGACCGGTTTCGGAAATTGAATTTTGAACCCTAATTGAGTTCATTAGAACAACGACGGCTAATGTCGTTTACCTTCAAGACAAAACTGTCTAGGGATACACATTCGAAAGATTCGACCGTGGCTAATTAAATTATTTTCAAACTCACGCAGCTGCGTCATACTGACGCAGACTCTGTTGGCGACAATCAGCTTGTTGGCCACGATGAATATCTTTACATTCTTGCAGCGGTGGAGATAGTTGGGAAGGGAGAGGGAGTTCCTCTTCATATTGGGTCTTCCCTTGTCTAGTTACATATTAAAGAGGTGAACAATGAGAGGGTGCGCTGTATGGGGGAATGTCTCTTTACCAGACTTTCCTTCTTTTCAATAACAAAGTATTTCGTGATTTTGGCTCACATTGGACCTTTTTTGGGCCTCACTGCAAAGAGCGTCAATGTTAGAACTTCAAGACGAGCAGCATTTGTAGCATATCACGACTATACACCTCATAGTAAGAAGCACCTCTTTCTCCCCAGAAATACTGGCTCCAATCATCAATATCAGATACTATATCAATAGAATATACTCACCACTTCATATATGAAACATGGGAAGAGGTTGTGGTGGCAAGTGACACGCTTACCACGTGCACGACCTGGGGACCAAGTCCTGGATTGGCTCCCACCCACGTCAACCAAGCCTTCCACCCTCCGGGAGATGGTGACTAAGATACAAGATCCGTCTGCGAGGATAAGAACGCTGACTTGTACATCAGCTGGGCCCGCAGTCATCTTTGGGTCCCACATGCATTCAATAAGTCCTACGAATCTACATTAGAGTGGATGAGGGCCGCATCCACAAAGAAGGAGGTTGATTCAACGGTTGGAGACTTTATTCTTTGTCCTCTATATGAATACGATGGAGATTTGGGGGCTGCTCTGCCTAATGCATTTCTGTTACTACAATTATGGCAGCCGCATATACTATTTGTCGGTATGTGCCCTGCGTTTGAAAACATTTAAGAAAGTCTCAAAGAGTGGCTAGCTCTAATCCCCTGACATCACTTTGATATTCTTCTTCTTCTTCTTCATCTTAATAACAACTCCCGTCATCTTGGGAGGCGTTCAGTAGAACCTGGAAGTGATTGCTAATCACGCCTCCGGGAAAGAAAAACAAGACAGAAATCGCGAGATTACCTGACTTCCGTGGCAGCTTCACATGTACAGTTACTCCGATCTGCTGGTTTCATGGCATCGAAACGATATCCTGCCGCCTCTGGCTCACTTATCGTTTCTTCTCGTCATCCAGTGTGTAACACCATTCGACAGTGAAGAGATCACGAAAATATAGAGAGAAACTTACGACTAAAAGTGGTCCATGGGTCTGTCCTGAGCAAAACTGGGATTTTTAAAACGACGCTACTTTAATGACGCAACGCCGGAAATGAGTGCAAATTGGACGCATGAGCGCAGTGAGCGTCAGCGAATAGCAGCACGTGATCCAGATTGTGCCCCTCCAACCAACAACAATTTACGAGCGCCCCCCAGTAAAGTTTAAAAGGACGGGTTTGCTGGTAGACGGACTCACTGAGCGGGTGTCAGAATTAAGAGCTGCAGCATCGGCTGGTCACTCATTGTGGATAAGTTGCCTAAATGATGGGACAATTCTGAGTCACGGAATGGACCTGGACAGAGGTCGTCAGTGTCTGAGCGCGGAACCTAGGGTTGTTCCAGTTTCTTAGGGCCAGGGTTTTTCACATCGTCAAATTCCAATTTGCATGATCTACTTTCCAGAGGTGGGACCAATTTCATGTTCGCATTCATTGCCGTCCTGCCAGTGGTGCCTCGGTCTCACTTACGATACCGTTGCCTTGAAGGCAGTTGGCACGATAAATCCTCAAGGCGACTAGGATCAATACTCCTGGCAGGATAGAATTCCGCGACCCTGGGCAGGCGCTGCATAGCGGTTTCCCCGAGGATTATAGGGCGTCCTATCGAAATCGATTTACAAGTCACTGAGAACGGAGGCTTTTTCTTCGCAGGATTTTGACCGTTTCACTCCGTTCTTTCGCCATTTCCCCACTATACAGCGCCCTACTAGCATTTTAGGCTAAGTAGGAAACCATCCGTCAAAACTTTTTAAAAGCGACGGCATTCATACACTACTTGCTAACACACGTGCAGATAACTGAAGTAGCTTTTCTGGGCCTCTTCTTGCAAGGTTATGAACTCCATCGGTCTCCAGACCCATTACCACAAGCTCGATTGAACGCACTAGTGGTCTGCGTCAGTATGACGCAGCTGCGTGAGTTTGAAAATAATTTAATTAGCCACGGTTGAATTTCCCAAGTGTGTATCCTTTAAAAGATATTATCCGTCACAGTTGCAGTCCATCGGTCGCCACGACGTGGGTCGCCGAACCGCCTTGATCGTAGGAGATACGGGCATCGACGTGGAAACGATGGTCCCTTTTTAGAACAAAACAGAATAATTTTTGGTCAGAAGATGTAGATTAGCGAAATTATTTCAGGAGTTCTACCCACAAGGACCAGATGCAGCTATGTGTTTCTCTACGACGGAGACGACATCGTTCAACAACCGCTACGATTTGAATGGATGACCGAAAATCTCGTACACGATTGGAGACGATTCCTAAACATGAGAATGAGCACGGTATGTCACCATTCTGTTGTGCTTTTTCATTAATCATCCGTTCATGAGCATATCATTCCGCCTGAGATCGCGTTCATGCTTCGCGAATTGAGCGACTCAGTCCCCCGCTATTGCAATTTCCACTATTCGTTGGATCTCTGCCGCTGCAATTTTAACACCTTCAGAGTTACAATTGGCGCTCCCAAAATTAGTAGAGCACAGACGAGGAGCTCGCGTGCGCCCTTATGTCAGAGCAAGGTACAGCTTCGTGATGGGTAAGATGGCGGTGTCAGTATGACCTCCCCAGATTTCATCGTCTTCTACTATCCTCTTTAGACCACTCTCCCCACCGACCAAGTACGACCCCACCCGACGGGATAATCACCTACAGATGCGGCACTCTGTATCGGAAATCGCGAGTGGGCCTGCATTTCGCGCCTTTCAGCAAAAAAAAAAAAAAAAAAAAAAAAAAAAAAAAAAAAAAAAAAAAAAAAAAAAAAAAAAAAAAAAAAAAAAAAAAAAAAAAAAAAAAAAAAAAAAAAAAAAAAAAAAAACAAAAAAAACAGAGTCTAAGATTGAATGTGCAGTTTCTGCTCCGCCGCTGCGAATTCAACCTTTCAGAGAAACAATTGGCGCTCCCAAAATTAGAAGAGCACAGACGACCGAATCCCGATAATTAGCAGTGGAGCACCGTTAGTTGCAATCGCGCGATTCTCAAATCGTCTGAGTGACTCGCGTCGCTGTCCCGGGCGAATCACGTTTTCCTATTGTTTTCTTTGCATTATCTTGTAACAGAGAGCATTTTTCCGAAGCACTTTTAGTCCATATTGCCCTTCAACACACTCTCTTGCAAGGTCAGAAGGAGCGGCCGTTCTTCTTCTACTTCTCATTCCCACAAGTTCACAGCGCCCAGTTTGCAAACGCTGATTTTCGTGGTTCATCCGTTCGAGGTTAGTTTGGTTTGATGCTAGGTTAGTAGAAAATCTCGGCCTGTTGGCTAGCCTTTGCATTCCATCCTACCTTGGTAATTTGTTTGGTCCTCTCGGAGAGCTTTTGACCAACCCTTTTAGTCGTGGAGTTGTAACTCCAGAGTTTTCTTACTACTTACTGACTATACACTGCAATAGTACGTAAAAAAACAACTAAAGCAAAAACTAACCACATTTTCTTTCTATAACTTTTCATTGGGGCCAATGAAGTTGTAGCTTCTAAACATGAATGATATCCTTGACGGAGGTGTCGAGGAAGTGGCACGATTACCTCCGGGTGTGCGTCCGGGTTAGATCCCCGAAGTCAGGCCTGATCCCAAGCCTCTCTTACCCATCTGGTTACAGTTAACATTGGTACCAGATCCCTCTAGGTACGAGAAGAACACCCCTTGCTGCATCGCCAACGGATCTCCCCCCCCCCTTTTTTTTCTGAGTGGAAGTATAAAAACGCGCCGCATCCTATCAAGAGATGGACAAACTGCAAAAAGAGAGTTTTCATTTATGAATTCTTCTCGAAGACCACCTCGATCACACGTGTACCCATGTGTCCTAGTCTGTGACATGTCCAGCTGACAATTAGGGTCAAGTACAGTACTGATGATCCACATCTCACGCATGTTACTTTTTTCTTCACAAATTCTACGTATATTCGCTATTATCCTTTGGTTGTAATTTGACCTCTCAAAGACGGTAATTTATCGCGTCTGCGTTCAAACTACCGTAGCCTTTCTAAGTATAGCTAGCACAGCCATACTTATTTCCCTCGTTTGAAAAAAGCAACCGTAGCCTTCTTCAGTCATGAGCGGACCACACTCCTTTTTCCCTCTGATGGCCAGCTACCGTAGCCTTTACTAAGTATAGGGGCTTTGTAAACGTTGTGTCGGGAGAGAGTACAAGTTTCCAAAAGCTTCGACGGAATAGATCAGCTAATATCTCTCCAATACCGTACGCGACACCCCCCCCCCTCTTCCCTCGAAAAGAGGCACCACCGGTTCATGTCCTCTCAGAATTTCACTAGTTATTTTATGCCGTTTTTCACTTGAGCAAAAGGAGAGAAGCGGTCACCCACTTTCAGGGAGGGGAGGTGGTACCGATGAGCCAGTTTCCCTCAACAGACCCTAAATCTGACACTTCACCGTCCACCTTTGCGTGAGGAAAAGCCCGGTTCGCTAGTTGCTAGAGCCGATCCGTTAATTTGACCACGGACGCCGCGGCCGGTAAAGCGTGTCACTGTGCCGTTCCAACAGCCCGCGCTCACCTGAGTTATCAGTGAAGTCTTAACTTATAATACTTTAGTCACAGCTTATCACAACTTATTCACGCAAAGTGCAGCTTTTCCAGGCATCTATGGCGATTCAATTAATGAAATGTCATGGGCAGTTGGCGAAGTTCTGAATAGTCTTGTCAAAGCTGGGATAGCCGAGAACACCCTTGTCGTATTGATGTCAGACCATGGACCACATATTGAGCTCTGCCTTAACGGAGGCTCGACAGCTGGCCTTAAAGGTACAAATTCATTCGTGCATCATTCCCACGTCCTCATATAGAGACTTCATTTCAGGAGGAAAATCAAATTCGTACGAAAAGGTCGGCTTTTTAGAATTCCATTCATCGCTTGGCAGCCAGGTACAGTGAAAGCCGGGCGAGTGTCGAACGAAGTCATTTCAAGTATGGATCTGTACGCAACGTTCCGAGAAATGCAGACATGCCCATTCAGGGTGAGGACCGGCCCTTCTTGCTGCCTTCCTTTATCTCAGTTATTACGCTATGGCTCATTGAGCGAGAGACAAAAACTGCAAAATTAGTATTAAGGAAGTCGCTATTATTCCTTTGCATCCCTAATTCAGTTATGAAGCCATTCAAGAACGAAGATGACGACGGATCCACATTTAATGAATCCCGCGTTATGGGCGATTCAACACAGAGACTGACTCGAATAGTAGATCCCTCCTGCGGACCATCGTCCAAGTTTACGGTTACATATAACGGCATTGCTTAATAGGCGTAACCGATCATCGTTCGTGCGAAACCCATCAAGGGGGATGTACATGGCCTCTGAGGCGAGGAAGGGTCGCAATCGTGGAGTCGGTGAGCACCAAACAGCGCAAAGTGTCATCCCTCAGTTTCATGGGGCGCGGAAGCACTGCTGCAGAGAAAGCCTATGATGTGTATAAGGCCTTAGCGAAGTATTAAAAAATTAGCCTAAAAATATGTATTATGGTTGATGAGTACTTAGATACTAAATAATGCATCGCAAGCAGATTTTGCTGCGTCAGGGCGTTTGGGGGGGGAGTATGCTTGGCATCTCGGTTAGACGCTATGAGTGTCCTCGTTGGAAGGCGCCACGCTAGCTGCCTGCCAAGGGGCACAACACCTTTTCGTGCCTAGGTGTCTGCCCGCTTTGTTTATTTATCGTGCCACTTGCCTTTAAAGAGTAATACTGCGTCTCACCAAATATCAGCAAAACTTATGGTTTTTTTCGTTTTTTTTTGAAGATAGTAAGATTCCGTAAGGGCAAATACAGGTAGCTGACACATAATTGCTCTTCAGACGAGGCAAATGCCGCTGGATGGGACGAATATACTGGAAGAGAACTGACTGGAATGAGCGAGGAATCACCGGCACTTGGTGCTGCGAAAAGCGGACGATCATCTTCTACCTTGCAACACGAAACTGATGGCGATTCGAATGGGCAACATCAAGGCAAGACACCAATCTTTAGGATTTTCTCGATACGGAGGAAATATTTCATTGAAAAAGACCTACAAGTTATACAAAGATATTTAAAGAAGAAGCTGGAATAGAGTCTCGGAATTTTGAAGAAGACGAGGGGGTAAATGGCGGAACAGTTACTGTTGAAGTAGATGCGGTCAATAACAAAGACAAAAAAGAACTTGTAGATGTTTCTTCGCGAAATATGCTTCTATACAAAGTAATTTCCAGTTCTATTGATTGTTATTGGTTATGGTTTCAGATTCACTATCGAACGTCTCCTATATTCTTCAACGATACGATGGATCCTAATCTTCCATACTTCTGTCCAATGGGAAACCTCGAGCGGACTGGTTAGTGAATCTATTTTTATTGAGGTTATTCCAGCAGCATTTGAATCCACAGCAGTGTAGCACAGCGTAGGGAATCGAAGGCAAATTTCGGTTGTTGGAGCTAAACCAATAAACTGCTTCATTAGCGCGCTACCCCCCGTACACTCACCCTTGTGGAATAGTAGCTTCTTCGTTGTGCGAGATCGGATCCGCGCCCGCAGCTGCAGTTTCGTGCCACTTCAGGCGGTCAAAGGCGCAGAAGGACCGGGCTGAAAGGCGACGATGCCCGGGCGCCCTCCTGAGCCTAGCAGGCCCACTCGAGCGTGAAGTGTGCCTTCAAGCAGGTCTTAAGAAAACGAGCTCTGCAGAAATGTTGATTACAGGCGAGGTGTCTTGTATCCGAAGGCTCTTCTAATTTCAGGTACGTCTCACAGACATGCCCTGACGAGCAGCTTATTTTGCACAATCCTCCTCTGGTCTTTGATCTCGTTAAAGATCCTTATGAACGATTTGCACTCGAGGAAAGCAACTATGTGCTGTGGAGGTATGTTACCATCCTCATTTTTCAGTAGGATCATTTATTCTTGTCAGTAATATTATTTTTTAGATGAGAGCACTCGGAGCCCAATTGTTAAGGGAACATCGCGAGTCATTAATACCAGTTCCGAACCAACTTGGTCATTTCAACAAGCAAGTAAGTGAACTTTGGAAATTTCTCTGAAGGCCATATTCTGAAGAATTCCGGTACTCCGAAAATTGACCGATTTCAGCTCACGCCATGCTGCAATCCACCGTCATGTCAATGTGATAAAATCTCTTATCGGCGGAATGAGGTAAGACCTAACTGATTTACCAGTCGGATCACACGGCTGACGCCCGGTGCTACTCCTTCATGTTTCACGGCCAGCTTCGCCAGGCCCGCCTGGCTTCGCAAGCCTTTTGTCGGAATGCTGTGCCAAACGCTGGACAGTTGTTTTTTTTTTTTTATTGGAATGTAGGACAATGGGTTGGAAAAGCTCAACATCAGTCATTATCTACCAAATCTGGTCCCTCTTGCTTACTGCAGACTTTCAACCGTGAGAAGGCTGCACCATACCATTAAAGATCGCAGTTGCGACATCAGAATGGGTAAAGTTGAATTAGTCTGGATGAGTCCTTAACACCCGGAAGAGGCATAATTGCCGAGTCATGGGCGGCACTGAAAAGGAGAACTCCACATGCTTGTAGATGTCAAAGTGCGTGTCGCACGGAGAATTTCACCACCGACAGGACGTCCCCACTGCCAGCTGTTGGATTCCCTCCTTATTTTGCTTAAATTGCGACCGCCACCTCCTAATAGATCTCATAGCACAGATTTGCGAAAATTTTTTTGACTGACGAATTTCTCGATTTTCCCGTTTCAGCCGCACTATATACCCCCTCCCCCCCCCCCCGCTCGTCGACATCGACATTATATAGTAGGATAGTGGGATGAGTTCATTTTCTATTGCTATCAGAAAAGTGATGGCTAAAGGAAAAGTTTGCACACTGAGCCTTCAATACTTGGCAGTATAGTGATAAGAGATGTAATGAGAATGGCCCCTTATCCTTTCTTATCAATTGATAAGATTGCCTGTCACCCGTCATCAATGTCCTATCACTAAAACTCTATAATTTGGTGGTGTAAAGGCTCCAGCACTTTGACTGAAGAGCAACGGCAACCTTCCTTATCAGCCCCTATCAGCTGTTATCACTTGCTATTACCCGCCGTAGCCGTCCCAACCTCCCCCTGTATATCATTTGCTGGAATCAACGCCTTGGTGTCCCACGTTATGAGTATGTTGACCTTCCCTTTCTAACTCTCCTTATCAAATCTTATCACCTCTTAGCGGTTTTTGTCACCAACCAATAATGTTCCTGTGCCACACCCTATATCATACCTTGGAATCAACGAACCACAGCTGCTGTGACCCGCACTATGGACTGGGTGACCATCCCCTTTGGACGCCCCTTATCAGATCTTATCAGCTGATAACACTTCCTACCACCCACAATGTTCCCGTCACATCCCCTCCATCACTTCCTAGAACCAAAGTCTCGCTGCTACTAGGACAGGTGTTATTCGTGACACAAAACACATACACACAGACACCGATTTTGCTACCAATTCATTTATTTATTTATTTATTTATGCGTACAGCAACGCGCCCAGTTAATAGCAGGTGGCGAAGCAATTTAACAACAACACGAGCTACGGGAGAAACAAGACAAAAGAGAAAAAAATTATAAGATTAATTAGAAAAAACTAATTTGCGTTGAGCAAAAAAAATCGCGTACAACTCAAGCGTGTTTCATCGCGCTATAAAAGAAAGCTATTTTCATGAGTTTGAGAACTAGGGAATTTAATTTTTTTTTTTTAGTGAGCTCCTCGAAAGTTGATTTCGCCAGTTTTGATACGGGCCACCAATCGTTTCTTTATGTAGTAAGTAGTGCGGCAGAGGCAGTTCGATTCCGAATCGGAGCAGACATTGATATGTTCGTTTTAGCGGGTGTCTAAAGTGGTGGTCCTCTTACTCCCCTGTTTCGCTTCTATAAAACCCCAAATAGGAAATCAGAAGAATTTAGGCTCGGGCTGATGAAAAGCAAGTATGTCTTTGTTGAACGAGATGCTGCAGCTTTTTAAGAGGGGACTGGAGTTTGGAGGAGAGGGGGAGGCAAGGGTCGCACCCTGCAAAAATTCCCCCAACGCCAGCACGTACCCCGCAAAGATAAACTGGTTTCTTCCCCAATTTAGGCGGCTTCTCCACTATGGGGTTCTGTAAAAGCGCTATACATGCCATGTAGTCATGATCCCTGTAAACGACAGGTCGAGTAAGGGCCGCGAGTTTGATCGCAGCCAAAAGAGCCCTTCTCGCCAATTGTTGCGGAACAAAAATGGCATCATTGATGAAATACCACTTTGGCAACGCTTTAATCCACGCTCCGTCACATGCCCTATCATTTGCAGGGATTGAAGCGCCAAATGTCACGTATACCAACTAGTCAACTCAGTTAGGATCGCTTACATACGGTTGATATCAGCGCAACCAATCAGCGGTCACAATCAGCGGTCTCCATGTGCGGCCTTTCCATCACTGGTTGTTTTGCTCCCAAATCGATCGCTACCCGATCACAGTTGAGAAAGGCTGCCGGGGGCGGGTCATACTGCCCTGCCGGCGCCATCTCCGACTGACTGTAATGCACAAACTTTTTTCGAGGCGCTCTACTAAATATAGTTTGATTGCCACTTCATTATTGTACAGGAAGAGCAAACTGTTGAGTTTCAATGGATATACTTTGTTTTCAGAACGCGCGAGACGCGCTGTTCGATCAAGAGCAACTGCAGTCTGACTTTTTGGAGTCGTTATAGGGAGATCATAGCGATGTATTCTGTAGTGATGCGAAATCTGGTCATAAAATATCTATACTAAGATTCCTAGGGAGAGATTTCGCGTTCTTAGGACCTGTTAACCGACGTTTGGACGCTTTCATAAACGATCTCGAGTGTATTAACAAGTGGTTTTATTGTTCTCATCATTGTCCTATTTTGTTGTTCTTCATTCTTTGACTCTTTGTGTTGTTCATCATATCACCCTCTTTACCATCTGTTTCCTTGCATTGTCTTCTCTTTAGAACAGTCACTCACGTGATCAAGTATTGTATATTTACTGCGAATCGTTTCATATTTAAACGCCAAATATGGCTGTCAATGGATCTCATCGTTGTGAATCGTTACATGTTCCTAATTTTTCCTCAGAAATTGATTGACTATTTTTGATATTGTTCCGAAAATACACTTTGTCTCATGATTCAGCTCTCTTGCAAGTTTGATAAAATTGAAAAATACTGGTCTCAAACAGAGCTCATAGCTTTGCACAGTTTTGGGTCGCAATTCCTGAAAGCGGGACGTCATAGGCACATAGGCGCGAAAGTTCTTGGATGCTTATTCATGCATGAATCGTGAAAGAAAGTGGAAGACTACTCCGGAGCATTTCAATCGGCCATCTACACTCGATAGTGCGCTGAATTTTCCAAGGTAGCGTTTAAAGAACTCGATACACAGTCGGGATGTGCCTCAGAGAATCACAGGGAGAAGTGGATGGACCGTATTAGTAATAGCTGCAGTTGGAGAACACCTTTTCATTGTGTTAAGACATTCGTGGTATATGAGATCTCAAAGCGAAACAACAAAAGTTTCCGTGTTGCCGTGTATATCACTTCTTGGAACCGTCATCCTACTGTTCATGAGACGCTTGCTATGAATTTCGTGACAGATAGAAGACCGCCATGCACAAACAGACAAACACACACACACCACCTCACAGACGCTAGCCTAGCCGATTTACATTATAGTTAGGACAGGACAAAAAAAGTCAGATCACCCGGCTGGCGCCGGTGCTCCTCCTTCTTGCTTCACCACGGCCCGGCGAAGCCGGGCCGACACTGGCTTCGCCAGGCACTCCTCCCTCCTGGCGTGATTAGAATCGCTAATATGGCTGCAAACCGGTGGCTGGTTATTTTTACATAAAATGGGTAAGAGAAAATGAGTTGAAAAAGCCGAACATAAGTCATTATCTATCGAACATATGGTCCCATCTCCGTGAGAAAACTGACATTATCATCAATGGATGGCAGTTGTGACATTAGAATGGGTAAAGTTGAATAAGTCCGGATGAGTCCTTAACACCCGGGAGAGGCTTAACTGCACGATCTTGGGTGGCACTGAGAAGGAGAACTTCACTTTGCCTTGTACATGTCAAAGTACGTGGTACGTGTGGTGAACATTCGATATGTCACCATCGATGGAACGTCCCCCACTCCCAGTTGTTGGGTTCCTTCCTTATTTTGCTTCAGTTGCGAACTTCACCACCTAACACATCGTTGCACATCATATATAACAGGCAGACTTCCGAAAATTTTTTAATTGGCATGAATTTCTCGATTTTAACGTCTCAACCGCACTATATACCCCCTCCCCCCCTCACCGCTCGACACCATTTCACCATTTAATAACGCTGCTATCTACTTACGAAATATCGAAGAAATGTTCTTTCACACCTAGACTCTAATACTCGCATTAAAGCCGGTGGAGTGATGATAATAATGTACGCAGCAGATGCGTATTCTTAGCCATTCTTTCCGGTTCATCATGATTACCTGCACCCCGTCATCTAATTGCCTTATCACAGAGTTCCTTATTAATTCGGGAATGTGTGAAGCTGCACCGTCTTGAAACAAGCGACGACGACCTGAACGTCTCTTTTCAGCCCCCTATCCAGGTGTTATCGCTCCGCAGTACCCACGCGTTGTTTGTCTGCTTTCTCACCCTAGATATCTTTGCTGAAATGAACGCCTCGCTGAGGCTGTCACCCGCGTTATGAATATGGTGACCTTCCCCTTCTGAAGCCCCTTATCGAATCTTATCAGCAGCTCGCAGTTCTTGTCACCCAAAAATAATGTTCTTGGCCCGTACTCTACATCATATCTTGGAATCGAGAGCTAGCTGATGCTGTCACCGCGTTATGAATATGGGTAACCTCTCCTTCTAAACGGTTCTAATCGGTTCCTTATTTCAACTGATATCACTTCCTGTCACCCAATAGTGTTCGTCGTCACACCGCACTGCAATTTATGATCTTGGGGACCAAAATCTCACTGTACTGGCAAGTCACACATACACACACACACACACACCAACAGACAACTTAGCGGATTATATATAGTAGGATAGTAGGATTGTTAAGAAATTCGTAGAGCCCAGCAAGAATGAATAAAGAAAGAAATCAGTCGTTATCGCTCAACACTCCTGGTATCCAAATGATTGCAGTGATATCCTCAATCTCGATGGAGTTCATGCATCACTCATTAGTGGAGTGTGACCCATTCTCAACTCGTACGTCGACATGCCACATAACGAGCCAAGATCTCCGGATTCACAACAGAGTACTGACAGGGACGTCGGCGACTCTACGGTAAGCTTTTGCTTTGAATACAGTGAGTATTAGGTTCCTTAGGTGGTCTTCAATTGACAAGCATGTTGTGTAAAGGAATCACTGACTCGTGAATCTTGCAAGCATTAAGGCACAAAAAGGAGTCGATTGTTGGCTACTCCGATCCGATTTCTATCACGGTTACTTGCCACGAGAAGACGTTCCAGGACTTCTTAAAGGACATGGGGATTTTCTTGTCAGACTGAGTGAGGTAACGTGTATACATGTAAACGCATCTCTCTCCCACTTTGACACTGTTAGCATCGGAAATTAGCCCGGACTGCCAAAGAATCGTAGCCCCAGAATGGCGAAGATTCAGAGATTCATAGCAGTTCCGCAGTAACAGTGAGTCGATGAATGCAGGAGGTTATACAAGGGGAAGGGAATCTATTGTTGGATGACAAGGGGTGATAATTGCCGGCAATATCTGTACTGTAACTGGAACACCATTGATTACTATTCCCTTACTAACAGTGGCGTCATATCTGACCGCCAAACCGACTGAATCGCAGATGAATGACGTATGCGTACGAAAACGTGATGATCAGCAGTAAATGAGTTTATCGTTGATATCACATTTGTTTTTCATCAACAACCATTTGAATCCTACTGCTTCATGTAGGGAGGGTATGCAGTGGTAGGACGCTCCGGGAGCGGATATGCATGCAAAAGGCTTTGCACCTGATTCGACAGCTTGCTTGAATGCAATGACTTAGCAAAGAGCCAGCTGAAATGTTTCTACATAGCGGGGTTAAAAAACAGTTAACGCGCCGTGAAGAAATCAAAAGAAGGCAAACCGTCACAAACGCTTGAATTGCACTTTGCAGTTTTCGTTTCACTGTACTGAAGAGGTTGTTAAGTAGAACTCTTTATTGGTTCTGGCATTAGGTTTCCACTGGATCGTCGTCCTCAGAAGGCTCTAACATAGCTCAAGATTTGGATCATCTACCCTCTACTCCGCCAAGCGGCTACTCAGCGTTTTTGACGGCCTATCAGGAGAACTACCTGCAGCACCGCATCCGCTTCATATAAATCACTCTGCCTCTCGTTATACTTCGTAAGTGGAGCGAAACGAGCATCAGCATCGGTCGGACATTTGTGGGTGGGCGTGCGCGGCGGGCATCGCGCTTAGGGTACTTGCTTTAGAAAAGCCGCCACACATACTCAGAAGCACCAGTTCTGTCCTGCTAGGCGTACTAATCCTACACGTCTTGGAACTTATCGTTTCACTTGCCTTTGGAGCCTTCATCGTATCACGCAATGAACAGAGATTCTGTGGATTTCGGCGAGGGCCCAGACAAGAAACGCGCGAGAGGATAGAAACGAGCAAGACAACAAACAAGACATCTATCATGGCGGATAGAGTCAGGATCTTTTAGGCGGTGTCAGCTTAACAACCTTGCGTTCTCACTTCTAGTTAGAACTTTCTGACACACAACCTGCACAAACTTTGTTCGTTGCGGTTATTTGCCATTAAGGAGCTTTGATACCTATGAGTGATCGTGTGCCGTGCCTTCGAAGCCAGAGTGTAACTCCGAAGGCGGTTTTGTTCAATTGCGAAGTGAATGGGCCCGCAGCTCTTTCTTCCTCAGCGTTTGTCCCGCTCTGTAGTGGGGTCCGCTCTTCTAAACATGCTGATGTGACATGGATGTTCGTAGGCCGGCCGGTCACAAAGGCCTGTCACCTGCTTCGGATGTCTGCGTTTGGCAGCTCGCAGAGACGAGCAGTTCCCAGTGGCACCACGTGGAGCAGTAGACTTCGATCTGAATGGGCCCGCAGCTGCAGCAGAATTCCTAATTTCTCTGCTCAAAAGTGTGCAGGACTGTGAGCTAGTAATACCCGAGTGCCATCTCCCACCTCCGACCGCCCTATCCTCAACGTGCAGCACTTGCGCTGATGCCAAGATCCCGCGGCGATGCAAACACTCAGCGTAGAGAGCAACCAGAAATGATAGGGTGCAGAAAAGCTACGGTTAGGCAATCGGGTAATCGGGCATGTGGCTGTGCGGCAGCGCGGACGGAGTACGGGGTTTGAACCCCGATCACTGAGCTCCAGCCCCGTTCTCATGCACTTGCCAGTGGAGAAATTGGCAGTGGCTACTTAAACGCAGCGCACCAGACTGTTTGACTTCCTCAGGAGATCAGGTCTTACGGTAAGCTTGCCGGCTATCTAGGTTCACACCCTTGAATTTTGTCATCGTTCGCGAGAACAGACGTTCAATGAGGGAGTGCCCTCCTTTGCGCGAAGATACTCCAGAGGGATTTTACTCCGTGGATTCAGTGCGTACTCCCGAAGAATAGTGAATCGGAGGTAGTGTGCAGAGTAGGCATTGCTCTCAATGAAGGATCACCTGTATCACCTGTGCCCATTGACCATCGAG